CAGAATCACACTAATGGTGATTTGCAGTGTCCTCAAACTACATCGGCAACCCACGTCAGTCCTTGGATGCTAGGTCCTCGTGCAAGAATATATACATTTTTAGGTTCATTCAGCTTGCTGTCATCCCCATTCGAATTTTTCTATTGGATACCGTTGAGCCGACACCTCTCTTCACTCACCAGACGCTACTATTCTCATTCCATCCCCTCTACTTCCCAAGCTTCAAACTTCGACAGTAGCTGCTCCAAACGCCCCGCATGGCCGTCAGTCATTCATTCTGGCTAGTACTTGGTTTACACCCACACGACCCTCTAACTGAATAGAATTGCCTGTCAATTTGCCTCACCCAGATACTGCCTATGTCAATTTCGTCATCTAAGTGCGATCCAGCTGTAACGAGAATGCACATCCACTGTCTGATTGCCATAACCTTAACGTCCGTTACGTGGCAGTCCAGAAACCGAGGTATATCAGTGCGACAATGGCACAGCATTGTCATACCTAGTCTGAATGCACAACCGCTTCCATGCCGCGGGCTATTTTCCTTCCCTTTTGAATTATGGTTGCTAGTAAGAGAAAACTGTTAACCTTATCCAAGCCGCATCCTGAACGAGTTTGCTCTATCATTGTTATTATTATTAATATTATTAACCCGTTGAACCGTTAATTTTGATCTAATTATCCGTGTTTTGCCTTGCGTTTTCAGTTTGCTCCTTCTACAAGTCCAACGTTCTTGTTCAAAATGTTTGTTTCGCCAATTGTATAAGCACAATAACCTTCCCTTCCAAAAATATCCTTGACTATGCCAACTGCCATTTGTCTACAATACGAATGTATCCATCTTCCTCTCCGCTCCATCAGACCCCGAGAATTTACTCAACCACCCGAGATCACAATTTTCCAAAAACGGTTTTTCAGTTTTAGTTCAAGTCGCCCGGCTTCATAATTGAAAAGCTCGTTTCTTATTGCCCATTTTTCAGTTTTTTGGTTTCTAGAACTACGGAGGCCTGCCAGGTGCTAAGTGTGCCTGCTTGGTTGTGCCTTCCTCTCCGTTGCGTGGCTTCCCGCTGCGCTCGGGTTCTTTCGTTCTAATGGTGCCTCTATTGGAATGTTTCCTGAAAGTTGGAAAATCAACCTATTATTACTGGTATGATGTGGGTTTTGTCATGTGAGGTTTGCAAAGCAGGCGGAGTCCCAGTGCACGGTGACTCGGTGGCCGCGCGTGGATGTGAGTTCCGCTATGTCGCCTGTCACCGGAAGCTCCTGGCGGAGACCATGTCCAGAAGGGACAACTAGTGACCTCTGCAAAACCCGGTTATATGTGGAAAATCTTCATTCAATCTGTTGAACGTGACTGTATGCAGAATGTGGGCGTCGCATCTTGATTGAGAGCGGCCGCCTTTCTAGTCAATGAATGCTGCCATGAACGTCCGGAAACCACGTAGTTTCAGAAACCGGGGAATGGAAAGTGTGGCAGAAGGCTGAAAAATAGACCGTCTTAGCTGATGGACACTTAAAATTCGTAAGCGAGCCCCACAGGTAATGAAGCGCGCCTTCATGCACCTAGCTTAATTTACTCTCTGAAAATCATATGGGGAGGGTTTTGGGCAGAGGATCCTCATTTGAGGGACCCGTAACCACAGTGTTCGCGGGGCATAACACAATGGCGAGTGGATTGTGTGGATGACTTCTGATTTGAATGCATCTGAACCAATCCGAGGCTCAGTAGGCTTTGGTAGTTGAAAAGACAGCAGCACTACAACGTTGTGCATTTCACAGGGCCTAATTTTATAAGCGCAGCCTACGCAGGTGAACGTTAACACTAATATCGGTCTTTTAATACAGTTCGTTTAGGCTGGGAAGAAGGTGATGTATTTGGAAACGTATGTGTGAGTTCTTACGCGGTTTGAGGATGGAACCTGCTTAAAATAGGAGAAAATGGAGGACAGGGGTAAGCAGCAGTAGCAGATGGCGCTTGTTAGGTTGTGGTAAAATAGTGCGGCTAAGATAGACAACTCGAGGTAGACCTAGCTACGGAAAAACTGGCTGGCAGAAAATGCCGATAAGCAGAAGGCTGTTAGAGAAGACCTCGCTGGATGAAGGGCAGCTCTGCGCCAGGATTGGGGCGGGATCATAGGTGGGTAATGGGCTAGGACCAAAGACCATTTGCTTAGCATGGGCTGTTTTACAGGGACCAGCGTGGGGGTTATTGGGCACTGTGAGTGTGTGAAGATCGATAAGATTCCTCCGTTATATCAAACGGAATACTCAGACGGACGAGGTAATAAGATTCTGGGAGGAGGTGGTTGTTTAGGTTGCGAGTCCGTTGGGTGCTGGTATAGCTTCTAAATGACCATCTGGCATGCATTTCGGTGAGTGCCTGATTAGGTGAGTCTATTCAGATAGAAAAAAGAAACCAGATTTTCAGGCGTGAGACTAAGGGACGAGGGTTGGGTGATCAGTGTGACTGCTGTGGCTTTGGGCAGTGAGCCGTCAACTTAGCCCTCTCAAAATAGGAAAGGTCCAAGAAAAGAATAAACATGGTTTAGGCTACCTCTAAGGTAAGTAGGGCTTGGACAGCAACACGTTCTAGGGCCTCAGTGAAAGCGATAAGCAAAAGGTTGATGTTGGCCATGTCCCTCTCGAAAAACGAGGTTACTTCGGATAGTTCCAGGTGGGTGGATGGGTAAAGGGAGTTCAAGTTGTTCTTCGTATCATGTTTTGGGATAGACGGTAAAGTCTCGTGTGAATGGGTTTTTAAAAGCGTCAGCACTGGGGTTAGTAGCCTTTTTTGGGAGGTGTGGTGACAGTCACCCTTTCTCCCTTGGTGTTGCAGAGAATGGTAAGGCTGCATAGACGCCCCGGAGCTTAATAATTCTAGGAATTTTAGGAGAAACATAGTCAACTAAGCTCTTGGAGGTCGTTCTGCTTTCTCAAACATGTTAAAAGAGCGTAGGACGAAGGCCGATGAGAAATTTCCAGCGGCTGTCTGTCAGGGTGTCATTAACTTCGCTGCAAATGTAGGAACCTTTTTAAGGGCATGGTGTAGGTTGGGACTGGGACAGGGGTGGTGGTCAGGGGACAGATGGATGAAAGCAGACACACGGATGCACATCAGTTACATAAATTATATGACACAACTGTAGGAACCTTTTTAAGGGCATGGTGTAGGTTGGGATTGGGACAGGGGTGGTGGTCAGGGGACAGATGGATGGATGAAAGCACACGGATGCACATCAGTTACATAAATTATATGACAAAAGCCTCTGGCGGGTTCAACAGATAAATAAATTTCTTAAGGCGGACCCGAACAGTTATCGTCGCACTATCCTGAGCAGCCACTGCATTGTGTGCCCATGGTTAAGTTCTTGCTCATCCCCATCTAACGGAGCACTCAGACTCCGTGCTGATAGTTTTTGAGGTCTATACGAGAGTGCCGCAACAGGAAACCAGAAGTATGCTCACAGGAAACATGCTGAATAGTAGATCTTCATAGGCGTTGTTCCCAACCAAACGGGTTGAGTAAAGTTAGGACCGAGTGATCTGGGGAAAGTGTTCATGGTTTATTCCACAGATGCAAGAGAAAACAGAATTTATGGGCGTGAAAATGAAAATACCTCACCAAAATCTTCAAAAAAGGTCCGCGATAGGCAACCAATGAAACCGACTTCAAACGTAACGCAATACCTTGAAAGGTAAACTGCAAGTGGCTGAGTTTGTTGTGATTAATTACGGAGTAATAAAGCTCAGTCTTTACCCTTCTTATCGGTTACGCGACAAAAGGGCAAGCCTACGGAACCAAATCTACTGGCTTTTGGTTTCAAACTAACGTATGGACCGGATGAGCCAGTGTGTATTTTACGACTTCAGATTTGTAGGTCGGGGAAACGGCGGATTTTCAAACTCAGGGATGTGACTTTTTGGCCTCTTAGTTATGACCTGTATCTACCGCAAGTTGAAGTGTGCATTTTCAGGGGAGCCATGCTTCGTTTGTTGTTTAAAAAATCTGAAAGAGTCAACCACGACTCGACTTTCTTATTCTGTCATTCTCATCGTCGTTGTTGTTTTGTCAACCGCCTCTCATGAGGGAGGTTTGATGGGAATGCTGCACTCCAAAGTAACCGTATTCGGTCAATTTTCACTTAGATATTTTCAGTACAAAAGTGAATTGAGCTCATTGTGTAGCCTTCTTCATGCCGGTGAGAACTGTACTCGGTTCTCGGGCTACATTGGCATTTATCGTCTTTGTCTTCCATTGTTCCTCTTCCACACTGTGATGGCTTTGTTAACTGTGGGAGTATCCTCGAGTCAAACTCTCCGTGGTAGGATCCATAACGGGTAACTTCCAGCTCATTCCCATGCGTATAATCTCATGCAATCGATTTGCAGATTTTGGGCCTGGAAGGTTCTCATGCTTTTGGGTCTCTACATCTGTGCCTATTTATTTCCTACATTGGAGGAGCTCGTTTTCGGTAAATTCTCTTTTGGAACTTTGATCTTTTTAAGTTTGGATGATACTTGGAATTATCGGAGGGTTGATTTTCATCTATGTGCAGCACATCACACTGATTGATTTCGCATACGAACTTAACGGTATTTGGTAAGTATCTTATTGTAAACTATCACCGCTTCCTCTAAAACATCGCCCTTGGCACAATCGAATCGCAGCACTCAGTTATCAGGTCAACTAGATAGTTTGATCACTGAACTAGGCTTCTTGTTGCCCAAAGACACTTCAAACGTAACGCAATACCTTGAAAGGTAAACTGCAAGTGGCTGAGTTTGTTGTGATTAATTACGGAGTAATAAAGCTCAGTCTTTACCCTTCTTATCGGTTACGCGACAAAAGGGCAAGCCTACGGAACCAAATCTACTGGCTTTTGGTTTCAAACTAACGTATGGACCGGATGAGCCAGTGTGTATTTTACGACTTCAGATTTGTAGGTCGGGGAAACGGCGGATTTTCAAACTCAGGGATGTGACTTTTTGGCCTCTTAGTTATGACCTGTATCTACCGCAAGTTGAAGTGTGCATTTTCAGGGGAGCCATGCTTCGTTTGTTGTTTAAAAAATCTGAAAGAGTCAACCACGACTCGACTTTCTTATTCTGTCATTCTCATCGTCGTTGTTGTTTTGTCAACCGCCTCTCATGAGGGAGGTTTGATGGGAATGCTGCACTCCAAAGTAACCGTATTCGGTCAATTTTCACTTAGATATTTTCAGTACAAAAGTGAATTGAGCTCATTGTGTAGCCTTCTTCATGCCGGTGAGAACTGTACTCGGTTCTCGGGCTACATTGGCATTTATCGTCTTTGTCTTCCATTGTTCCTCTTCCACACTGTGATGGCTTTGTTAACTGTGGGAGTATCCTCGAGTCAAACTCTCCGTGGTAGGATCCATAACGGGTAACTTCCAGCTCATTCCCATGCGTATAATCTCATGCAATCGATTTGCAGATTTTGGGCCTGGAAGGTTCTCATGCTTTTGGGTCTCTACATCTGTGCCTATTTATTTCCTACATTGGAGGAGCTCGTTTTCGGTAAATTCTCTTTTGGAACTTTGATCTTTTTAAGTTTGGATGATACTTGGAATTATCGGAGGGTTGATTTTCATCTATGTGCAGCACATCACACTGATTGATTTCGCATACGAACTTAACGGTATTTGGTAAGTATCTTATTGTAAACTATCACCGCTTCCTCTAAAACATCGCCCTTGGCACAATCGAATCGCAGCACTCAGTTATCAGGTCAACTAGATAGTTTGATCACTGAACTAGGCTTCTTGTTGCCCAAAGACTCTTGGGATGTTCGTTCATGCAGCTTCCGAATTGAAAGTCAACCAGCTACCTAAATACAACGCACATAAAGCTCCAAACACTCACAGTAGAGTCTCTTGTAACCAGTACTTAAAAATGTCAAAGGTGCTATATGAGGGGTTTCGGACGTTGAGTGTAAGGAAAGAAGGTGTCTCTCGTCGGTTCTATTTTGGCGTTTGTGCGTAAGTTCCTGTTCACGATGGTTGATGGTATTCTTGGGTGTTGGCAGAATACAAAACTTGACAGATGATTTAGCGGCTGAACGGAGAAGTTCCTGCCGATTCGTGGGCTTCTGTAATAGCTGATAACTCGTTAGTTTAGTAGTCAGTTCTGTACGCCTTGCTCCTAGATATTCACTGTATTTGTCTGGATTCTGCCCCGAGGGAATCTGTAAACCATGTTATCGATGTTGATCAACTTTGCTATCAACTGAGAACTTATTTAATATGGTTCATCAGGCTCTCCAAACGAGTTGCAGTAGCTTAGGTGGCGTGCGACTTTATCGCGCCGAACATCCCCATCATAGTAGTACACACCGGTACTTAGCCGCCATTTAGCTTCGATGGAAGTAGACCCTATTATTTGGTGGAAGAAATGAAAAAAAAATGAAAAAAGCCCATTTTCTAAAGAGAATGCCCAACATTAACGTGGCTAGGCCTGCAAAAAGCGTCAACACAGAGATACAAGCATTACGTTTTAACAAGACGACTCCAATAGAATTGACCTACCATCCTTACGGTGCGTCAGACATAGTCCTCAAGGTCCTGACGAATAAGATTTTCGGGTCATCTGCATGGTTCATCAGGCTCTCCAAACGAGTTGCAGTAGCTTAGGTGGCGTGCGACTTTATCGCGCCGAACATCCCCATCATAGTAGTACACACCGGTACTTAGCCGCCATTTAGCTTCGATGGAAGTAGACCCTACTATTTGGTGGAAGAGGTGAAAAAAATGAAAAAAAGCCCATTTTTCTAGAGAGAATGCCCAACATTAACGTGGTTAGGCCTGCAAAAAGCGTCAACACATAGAGATACAACCTTTACGTTTTAACAAGACGACTCCAATAGAATTGACCTACCATCCTTACGGTGCGTCAGACATAGTCCTCAAGGTCCTGACGAATAAGATTTTCGGGTCATCTGCGCGGGAGGCTGCTTGTGTTAGGCTTGGTACTCGGTCGCTTCCTAATAGCAAGTGGTCGTTCACTCACTCTAAATTCTATCAGTGACGCCCCATAGTAAACTGGCACTTTGGAGCATTTACTGAAGACTTCGTTCGAGAAGAGCACTCACCTGAGGAAGGTCCAAGATCATTCAGTGGTGTCTGAAACAAGACAATCGTGAGCATTACCCCAGTGCTCAAGATACATGCGATACAAAGCCAGAGGTGTTGCCGCGGGAGCGATGAAATCCCGAACAACCTCGTCAAATACTGAATCATAGACCACATTGCATATTACTTGGCACTGTGTAAAGAGAAGCTTTCCCGTACGTGCTCTCCGCTTCATTGGGGTGCTTGAACTCTCCCATCTTGTTTACCGGCATGGAGATAGCAGATCCGAGTGTCTTTTGGTAGACCCAGCCAGGTAAGAATCGATTATTTGATGTTGCTATCGCCCCTTCCGAGCGTTTTTCGGTGGACTTGGCCGAACACGAGCGAGTATGTCAGCCTCTGCACCGGCATCTGCTTCAATGGGCGCGTGTAACCTCATCAAGCAGTTTGGGCAGCTTCTGTCGGTGGTTGCACACTCTTTTCTCCTTGAAAGTAAAGGAGATGACCAAGGATGCCACCATGTATGTCGGACCGGGAGGATTAATAGCTTCCTCAGTGCATCGAAAATAATTGACAGATCGTTATCGTCCGATGTTTTCTATCCCCGCGAACCACCATTGCATTCGGCTTTTGGGATTTGATCGTCATCCCAGCTCTCCTCAACTCGACTGCAGCAGCTTCAAGCTTCCCTTTAAGTCTAGTCGGACTTTCTGCACACATGACCCAGTCGTCAGCGAACACAAAACCTTCCTCTAAAGTGTTGTGGAACTGGTATCTTCGTTTTGGTGTTGACAATCCAAGAACCTCATCCATCGTCATGATGAACAATATTGGGAAGAGTGGATCTCCGTGCCTCATACCCCTGTGGCAGTGAACCTCGGAATTGGGGAAAACTGGCACACTGTGCGATGTATCGAACTAGAGGTGACAGTGCCCCAAACGCCTCGGCACATCTGATAATTGTGTCGTGCAAAACCTAATTAAACGCTTTCGAGATATCAACAAACTCCAAACTGAGACTAGAAGGAGCTGCTGAAGAGTGCGAAGCAGCGCGTATAACCGCGATAAAGCTTTCAAACGACTGTCTCGATGTAAAAATGCGAACTGAGGCTAGGGTAGTTGAAGCCTACGCTCCAGCAATCCGAAAACACTTTATAAATGCATCGAACAAAAATGGATGACACGGAGATCAGTATCAGTTGATCCGGTGAAGTCAGACTTGGGATCTTCGGGACTAGAGCAATACGGGACGACACAAACGCGGTTGACGACTCCCATGTTGTACCAGTAAGTTGAAAGACCCAGTGGGGTGTTGGCATTGAACTGGCAAGCCATCCTGGGCGTGAGCAAACCATTCAGACCTAGGGACAAATCTCCATTAAACGGATCGTACGGTCGGCTTCCTCACCTGTCATTGGTTCGATCTAATTCCAGTCACATGGTAGCACTGCGCGACTTGGCTGGTTGTTCACGTGTTTTGCGGCAGAGAGAATCTTTCCCAATACTGCCCAGCGCCCATAGAGAAGCCGTGGTCACTATTATGTAGATCCTTCCACAACCTATCGAACACAGACGACGCTAAGTTTTTCTGTCTTTAGTGCATATGGCGCAAGAGATACATTGATTCCGGACCCGAATCCGGGCAAACGGGTGACTTTGTGCGATCTAACACGCTAGTTTAATTAGGGTTAGCGTCACTCGACAACGAACACTGTCATCTCTTGATATCCCTGTAAACAATAAGATGAAGCTCAGAAACTGACAAACGTGCTTTCTGTGGAGATGCATCTGAGCCCCGCTTTTGCAGCCATTCTGGGTTGGTGATCGCTGCAAAACGGATGCGCAACGTAGTAAATCTCAGAAGACCAAACAGAAAATTATAAGATAGTGTGCGCAAATAAAAAACAGCAGTCATTGTGTCTCGAAGAGTTTTCGACGACCTTGTGCGTATTTTCCCTCCTGAAAGTATTAATTGTGCTTACAAGAGCTGTTGTCAACGCTCGGAGACTACATTGCTTGAATTTTGTTGTGGCTTTGGAACGAGAATTGCATGAGCGATGGCCGATTTAGGTTCCCTCGCTCGCAGAGTAGAGAACTTTTGCAATATTCACCGAACTTTGAGTGCGTTCGTTATTCATATCGTCAAATTTTTCGTAAGCGATCCAGTCCTCTTTACACAAGCTGGCACATAGTCGCACCTTAAGGGATGCCAGAAAACTCTGCTGCAGCTTCATACTGTTATTCTAAAGTGAAGCAGTCGCTACGCGAAAAAAGGAGAATTTCGACGGAGCTATAGAATTTAACCTCTGAGACCTAGCCGCCACATGTGCTTTACTTGCTACTTAGTACAGTTTGGCAGGACGTCAGCCGATCAGAACTACAGACTTTTGAGAAACTCTGAGATCGAAACGTTCCAACTACTCTGAGTTTGAAGTGAACACTACTGAGGTTGGACTACGTTTGAGTATGGCATGAACCACCACGATGTATTTCTCTTATATGTGTCATTTTCCCCCACATCTACCAGTCCATTGAATTCCCCTGTTGAGAAAGGTTTTTCATTCATGCGCTATAGCATTTTAACATCTCTTCTATGTGTCCTACTTTTCAGGCACGCCAAATCCAGAAAGTGCATGTGGTACACCTTCCGTGAGTGCCTATTCGTCCCTCGTAGCCTGTTATTTTTTATTATCCATGCAGAAATACTAATCGTTTCTCTGTAGAATATTTTGGGTGGTTTTGATCTCAAGCGCATGCTCGACCCTTGGTCGATTCATATGCTGGATCGGTGGTGCGTGCTTCTACTTTTTGTATTCTCATATATCTGGCTGTTTGGAGGCATACGGAGAACTCAACAAAACCTCCTGCCTGGCAATTGGGCTCACTTGTATTCCGTTTGATTGGCATGAGCGAGTGGTGGGATGGGCAACGGAGGGTCTTTAAGGGCTCTGCGTTTGAATCCTAGTCTTGTAGGACTGAAGCATCGTCTCCATCTTTGAAGCAAGTGCAGTTAGATGAACTCGCCGAGACCAGGCATTCACTCCATATATAATCTATTGATATCTGGTCACTCTGACCAGATTGAACACACCCTATTGGTACAGTACGATGTCCGAACAAACTGAGTTGCTTTGAACGTGGAACGTCCGAAATTGCTAGTGATATGTGGAGTGAGTATATTAATTGTTGCTCAGGTGGCTGTTGATCTGTCCGCCGAGCTTGGCACCCAACTGCACACTGATGATGTCTCCTCGAATGGTGATAAAACCTTTGCGAGTCAATTGTCAAGCTCGGCGGATAGGCCAACCGCCACCTGATCAACATTCAAACTCAGCTGTTGTTAGAAGCGTACGGTGGGACCTACCCACTTACTGAATCCTATGTCAAACCCGGTTGCCCAACACAAACTAAAGTACTCATCATGTCAATCATTGAGAAAAACGATACTGGTCGTCGCGTAGCTCTAACGTACCTTCCTACTTATACCACCGAGGCCAGTCTTTCAAGTCCCTAAGTCAGTTATATTTCATGTGAACCATGCATAACACGCTGAATTGGCAGACACAGTGGACCTGCATAATCTGATTCCAAAGTCCCTCGTCCGTTGTTACAAGGCTTTTAACGTAAACTTCTCATTGCCTCAACAGCGATTTATAGTGGCCAAAGTCACTATCATGAATCATTCACATTGAACTAGGACACGGTGGGTGAGAAGACAAACGTCATGCGTAGAGCATCATACTTTCTCACACTTTTCTAGAAGTCTGTTCCGAATTATCTTGGGAAGGACTGGCTGTTCGAACTCCTTTGTTGTGGACCATAATTTTCTTTGTGCCTTCTTAATACCGTGAACCCGAGTCTGGATTGCCGCTTGCTAGCCCAATGCACTAAGCCAAACCAGAAGGCCAATGAACGCGCGAATCAGCTGGTCTATTGAGCACTGACCCGTACGTGGGTGTCGTGTGCGCCTGAAAACGGGCTGTTTATAAAACTCACATGGAAAGTTCTAGGCGGGCTAAAAAGTGATAGCAAAAATAGAACTCGTCTGTCAAGGACAAGCGAAGCACAACCAACTAAATGTCTCAACGAAAACGGTTATTCCATTGGTAATTGTGTTGTCCAGTTACGTCCGGAGCTGGTTCTACTAATATTTTTGTCTCCACGATGTCCACTTCAACCACCGCCCTTTTACTCGCTTGGTTGTTAGCTTTTGTTGTCAGGCCGCTTTTTTGTTCCATGCCGTATCGGTTAGTTCGCTTGCCAGAGTATGACGTCACGCGGTAGAGTGCAGCTAAGTGGTACAAAGATAAGGAACGACACAGTAACCTGGACTGGACTAACTGATGTAGACATATGATGGACCTGCTCTGATGTGCCCTGAATAGCCGAACTTAAGACCACACGTTGTCTGTTCTGACCAAATCGTGACAGGCCCTCAGATACACATTAGATATTACGCACAATTAGATGTGTCCTTACCAGCATGTAACGCTCCCTCGTGTGCGCATCGGCTGTTGAATGGTTCTTGTTAATTACTGCGCCCGATGCTTTTTCCACGTCACTTACTGATCTCACATTAGAAACTATATTTTCCCCTGAGGACTGTTAGGCGAATTTCTATTGTCACATGATAATTACTGCAATTATATCGAAGCGATATGACAGGACAATGAAGTTAGGAGTTTGCGCGCACTCGGAAGCGAAGAAAAAATGTGTTAACGCATGTAAAATTTGTTAGTCTTATACTGCACACATTATTGTAATCACAAAAAGACAACTTTTGATTCTGTGTGGGAAATGTACTAGAATTTGGATCAACTTTGGCCTCTTTGTCTGTTAACCTGTCGTAGGAAATGTCTTTACCTTCTCTCAATCTTTTATGACTTTCAGAGAAGTAAATTCAGTATTATAAGTGAACCAATCATATTTAAAAGTACTACACGATCTGGCGAGTAATCATCCATTGCTGCACTCGTTAGGGGTACGAAGGGACTAATGCACTTTCAAGTGAACAAATCGAAGATTACACCCGGATCATAGGTTTAACCGGAGTAAACACACACACACACACGAAGGTACAGGTAGCGCGACGATGAAATCACTTTTCGTATCCCCCCTCCCTCAATATTGCTTAATCCCAACACCAAAAATACAGTAACGCACCAAGTCAACTACCACGTTGAAAGCCAAATGGGTCCCATTTGGTTTTCACTCGCCAAACTGCGCAGGCTTTTGCTCTTTGACTCACGATGGTTTGATCTGTAACCGATACCAAATTGCCAAGTTTTTTCTCATTCCCCCACACGGATCATTCCGGTATTCCCTGTCAGTAGCGCACATTTTCTCTATGATTGTCGCTTCACTGCAGTTTTGCTCGGATAGTCATCCATTTAGTGGATGGGGCTTGAAAATCACTCCGCATAATGGGTGGTACGTTATCCTTGTTTGTGAACGTTTGGAGATTCGCATACCTGTCATTCACACACTAAGTGCAGTTGTACTTTTGTTCAGCCTACCACCGGATGGTGCATCTTTCAACGCCCTGATTACTGCGCCTGATCTTCATGAGTCTGACCAGAATCACACGAACGACAGGATAGAGACTAAGATATTCTAGCTCTCAAGACTCACCATTCTCAGCTGAACCAGACATCTCACCGTAGTTACCAATGAGCCCTTCTCAGCTCGGCTAGGTTGATTGGGTAACGACCGTGTCATCGATTGCTGTTGATCATTACGGATGCTTTGTGGATGGACAACCGGAGATCCGGTGAAGCGCCGTTCTGAATGTCTCTGCGAGCTCCTCTGGCTTACTCTAGTCCGGTCGGTCAGTGTAATGTAAGACAACCACCGAGTGCTCCTCTGGTGGCCTTGAATTTGTGCAGTATTTTGAATTGACCTGACGACTCGATGATCGGTGACCTCGACCTGGAAAACGCACATCACGTTTGAGTTCTTTGTTGGACTTCTTCGGACATCCGCTTTTTGCTTTTTCAAGTTATCTTGACTACCAGGTCAAAGCAGATTTCATCTATACTTTCAAATTAGCTCCTTGTTTCTTCTGACCGGTGTTTTTCATAGTCAGTCGATTGTTTTCTCACGCAAATGGACGCACTACTACAGGTCAAACGGCACTACTTATGCACGCTGTTCAACAGGCTGTGAACTGTTCGGATAAACACACACTTACAAAGGTGGTGGTCACAATTGGGTCGATTGTAGGTGCTGCAGTGGAGTCGTTGTTTCGGTGTTAGACAGTGAATTCACCCTCACATTGTCTTCTGTCTACTTATTTCTTTACGAACGAGTCCGCCACTCCGGACAGACGATATGAATTTGTAGGCAAGATAGTTGATGTGCCGGACACTTTTCCACTCAGGAGACACTGGTAATTCTTGGCGTCCATTAAATCAGATGTTAAGTTTGCTTAGCGATTTTGGACTGAACTTCTAACCGGAAAGCTCCACTCCGGACCTTCTTTCTGCTTCTCTTTAGGCCTAGGTAACCTGACAACCTTGAGTGAGACTACTCACAAGGTTGCTGAAACCTCTTCGACAGTCCAAGACTGGTGTTGCCCTACTTGGAGCTCATCAGGCTCATCGCAATCCTCAAGTTCTCACCAATCCTATGCTCTACTTGAACATTACTGCACACAACTCGACGAATACACTCATTTAGATAGCAGTTTGTTTTCTACGGGATACTCAACTGAATTCCAGCTAAGTCTCTCGTTCATGATAGCCCTCACTTGACTGCTACACAACGAAGGGGTATCATGACCACAGACGTAATACATTACTCAAGGTTGCTGAAAATTCTTCGACAGTCCACGACCTGTTTTGCCCTTCCTCGAGCTCATTAGGTAGGCGCAGTTTCCGAGTTCCATGACCACTTATGCTCGTAACATTAGAAGTTTGAGAGTTTTTCATAAGATGGTGATGTGGCATTGGTCGTATCGGTGGAACTTCTTTCGCCCAGTACACTTGAAACCACAGGTGTTCAACAGTTTCCATTACGATTGTACAGCGCGAGCGCTATAGATGCATCCCCATCTCGGTTGTAATGGATAACCGCACCTCCATAGGTGGCATCCACGAAAACTCCCATCCAGTTGCGCCGAATGCACCGAACACTTTATCTGATTTTCGTTTGTTTTCGTATCCGCTCTTTTGATGCCCTTTCATTGTGTTTCTCATATACTGACTAGTAAATATGTCTAGGTTAGGGAGGGAAAATCTCCAATGCTTGGTTGTTCGTGGGTTGTACAAACAAATACCAAAAACCAAATTAGTTTGTAAATGAGTGTAGATTCGATAATTTCGTGCAATTTGATTTCAAGTAGAACATAAGGTTGATGGAAACTCGGGGACTGCGCCTACCTGATGAGCCCCAAGAAGGGCGAAACCGGTCGTGGGCTGTCGACGGATTTCCAGCAACCTTATGAGTAGTACATTATAGAATATACATGTATCGCGATATTTCAAATATCGTAGCGACTGAAACATGAGGCGGTCTGGTGCAGCACATTCAGTTGCCTGGAATCATCACAAACAGGAGATTGAGCTGGGTTCCAGGTGAGTTTCTCGAAAAATCAAATTAGTTTGCAAATGAATGTATTCTCCAAATACCAAAACGTTTTGTCCACATTGATCTATTGGTCGTGCCCTCTCGACGGGTGTTCTCACGTTCCCTAGTATCGTGCTGGAACTTGCTTTCTAGGCCCGTGCTCATGTAAGTGGCACATAACCTTAAGGAAAACCGTGTTCACATATCGGCATGTCATCTTAGTAAGATTAGTTCACTGTGTCAAACATTTTTGATAGGGTGAATGCAAATTTCAATTGTCTCTACCTTTTTCCATCGGACTAAGTCATCTTATAAGTAATGTGTCTCACATGGTACGCTTTTCAATAGATCTCATCTTTTATCGTCCACATGAGCCGAAGTGAACTCAAGTGGGATTGAATGAATCTCTTGCATGGTAACACTGCCCCTGATCGATACACATTGACACTGACTATTCTTTGCCAATTCCCCCCCCATTCGGTTTCACAGTAATCTATCTTTGCACAATAGTCCTCTACCTCGCTACTGTGGCCGCCTACACTCTGTTTATCATATCCTACGGACTTCCAAAACAGTGCTCCCTAAATCTAACCATGACGGGGATCAACGGTGGTCTGACTGGGCTGTTTGCCATCTGTTCTATTTTCTCCAACACATGTAAGTCTGTTTTTTTCACTTTGCATGTGGTTATCTACAACGTGAGGTTTGGTACAGTTTCACCCTCCAGTCTAACTGGTCCTTAGTGTAGAAAAACTTTCCCACCGGCCCTAATGCGCAAAAACTCTCTTCTTAAGCCCACAGAACAGATGGTCAGGTATTCAGGATGGAGTTCGCACAGGTGTGTAAACGTTTTGTCCACATTGATCTATTGGTCGTGCCCTCTCGACGGGTGTTCTCACGTTCCCTAGTATCGTGCTGGAACTTGCTTTCTAGGCCCGTGCTCATGTAAGTGGCACATAACCTTAAGGAAAACCGTGTTCACATATCGGCATGTCATCTTAGTAAGATTAGTTCACTGTGTCAAACATTTTTGATAGGGTGAATGCAAATTTCAATTGTCTCTACCTTTTTCCATCGGACTAAGTCATCTTATAAGTAATGTGTCTCACATGGTACGCTTTTCAATAGATCTCATCTTTTATCGTCCACATGAGCCGAAGTGAACTCAAGTGGGATTGAATGAATCTCTTGCATGGTAACACTGCCCCTGATCGATACACATTGACACTGACTATTCTTTGCCAATTCCCCCCCCATTCGGTTTCACAGTAATCTATCTTTGCACAATAGTCCTCTACCTCGCTACTGTGGCCGCCTACACTCTGTTTATCATATCCTACGGACTTCCAAAACAGTGCTCCCTAAATCTAACCATGACGGGGATCAACGGTGGTCTGACTGGGCTGTTTGCCATCTGTTCTATTTTCTCCAACACATGTAAGTCTGTTTTTTTCACTTTGCATGTGGTTATCTACAACGTGAGGTTTGGTACAGTTTCACCCTCCAGTCTAACTGGTCCTTAGTGTAGAAAAACTTTCCCACCGGCCCTAATGCGCAAAAACTCTCTTCTTAAGCCCACAGAACAGATGGTCAGGTATTCAGGATGGAGTTCGCACAGGTGTGTACAGTTGCCAGACAGAAATAATCCACAGTATGTTTGGGACAGGATCGGTTATCTTATGTTTGACATCGATGATTGTGAAGCATGATTCCCTTGGATTTTCCCACAGAGGTGTCATCCAGCGGATTGAAAAATACAGCGCGGTCGGCGTCCTTTTCTAGCTGTCAAAACTTCAAGCATCTTGGTGGTCATCGTCAAAAGCTAGGCACAATTGTTTGACTGTTTATGGTCTGATTGATTGGTCGGGCGAATTACTGTATTCGCGTACGCCATTTGTTTAAATGAGGTTGGTGGCCGCGCGAAGTTGAGCTTAACAGTATGAACTTTGATCCCGGGCACCAGGTGATCACATGCTGGTAAAACTGTGCGATGATCTGTAGGGTTTAGCGGAATACACTCATTTGCAAACTAATTTGATTTTTCGAGAAACTCACCTGGAACCCAGCTGAATCTGTGATGTTTCCAGGCAACTGAATGTGCTGCACCAGGCCGCCTCATGTTTCAGTCGCTACACCATTTGAGGTAACGCGATACATGTATATTCGTGATGCACTACTCATAAGGTTGCTGAAAATCCGTCGACAGCCCACGACCAGTTTCGCCCTTCTTGGGGCTCATCACGTAGGCGCAGTCCCCGAGTTTCCGTCAACCTTGTGTTCTACTTGAAACCGAATTGCACGAAATTGGCGAACAAACTCTTATTTGCAAACTAATCTGTAGAGTTTGCCATCTCGTCAACGTTTATCTTCAGCCACTTTCACACAGTTTGGTTACTACCTCAGTAATGTTTAGCTTCAACCGCTCGCATAATTTGTTTAACACATGTACCCCCGCTATTTCACTTCTGTTTTAATTATGTCACAAACATTCGTCCCACGACCAACCGATATTTAACGACAAGAAACAGGCCAGACTTCAACACTCAGTGAAGACACTCGTTTGATACAACGCTTCTAGCAAACCTCAGCATCGTCCACTACAACTTGTCAAGCGAAGAACTCAATAAGTCTGTTTCTTTTTTGTGTACAATTCGATTGTAATACTATACATAACTTGTTTGTCATTGGTGCTCTTGGTTTTAATCAAAGTAGTGTCAGAAAGTGAATAACACTAATAAAAACAAGTTATGTATAGTATCTACCAGATACATTGTGTTACAATCGAACTATACACAAAAAAGAAAGGAACTTATCGAGTTCTTCGCTTGATAAGTTGTAGTCGAAGATGCTGAGGTTTGCTGGAAACATTTGTATTGAACGAGTGTCTTGATTGAGGGTGTTGAAGTCTGGCCTGTTTCTTGTCGTTGAATCCAGACTTTCCGCCTCACAGTGAGTCGTGCGTCGCTTTGAATTGCCTCAGGTCAAATCGCTGTGTGTAGTGACGAGCGTCGGCTTCCTGCTGTCGTTGTTCCGTATTGTATATAGATTTACCTTGTTTGTGAGGATGCGCTTGCATTGTTTGTCAGGTAATCTCGGTTAGTCGTGGGACGAATGTTCGTGACATAATCAAAACGGGAGTGAAATAGTATGTGTGCATGTGTTGAACAGGTTATGCGAGCGGTTGAAGCTAAACATTGCTGAGGTAGTAACCAAACTCTGTGAAAGTGGTTGAAGGTTGACAAGCTAGTAAACCCTACAGATCTGAATCAGAGGAAAATGTGATCGAACATACGAGACTTCCCCACTACCAACAATCAGTCAGTAACCTGATCAGAAAGGGAAAACCTCAGGACTCGGGTGAGACTTTCATGTGAAAATCCATTATTTAGCAAGCCAGTGATCACCCGATGCGAAATGCATGAATGAATGTCGAGCGGCCTTGTGCCTTGTCTAAGTGTGAGTTAACCACATCGTTGTTCGCCCATTCGCCTGTCACAAAAAGACTGGAGCTTACCGTGGTGTGACGGTTTGTGCACTTCAGCGATCCCTTGAGCTATACTGGGGAGTATCCCCGTGACACTCACAAAGTCTCTCATACCAAGCTGGTCAATGGTTAGAGGTCTGACAAACACAGTCTCCTGGTCCTCCAGGTTGGCTGTTGGAACATGTGGCGACCTGTTCCGTGGCATTTCCGGCCGAACACCACTGCCTTGCGGTTAGGCTTTTTAAGGACCCTAATCGTCCTTCTACCTAGGTGTGGGCGCCCTGGCAGTATGCCAGCCCTCGTCCAACCATGACATTCACAACTAACAATACTCTCATGCCACATCGCCCATTCGTGATCAAAGGGTACAACGTCGCTCGACAGAACCGTCCTAGTGATTCGGAAGGCATACATACAGGAATACATACAGGAATAAAACAACCGTCCAACGTAGCTGGGCTTTCCAGCATAGACTGGCTTCGCTTACAGAATCGCATATCAACGGAACCTTCGAAATCTCCCAAGCAGTTAACATGTAGTGGACTAGATTTCCTGAACAAACAACTCCCATCGTGTCATCGGGATTCTCTCCGTTTTGAAGCGTCCAGAAAGACGCTCACGTTGGATGTGGCGCTTTGTGACCTAGACATGCAATGCCCACAAGATTGGCCATCACATGGAAAGGACTTTTAAATCTCTCTTGGTGGTGACCTTTCTCCAAGAACGTGCATACAATCCGCGCCAGTGTTGAAGAAAATTGTGGAATGTAGCGGACATCATTTTCAGCTATTTTTAACCAAGCATCAGTTCCCTAGGTTTTCGTTGTTTTTTAAAGTAGTCTTCTTGGATATTATGCGTTACTTCGACTGATGGTCTCCAAGGTATTCTCATCTACGCTTCGAGCAGTCAATCAAATTAGAGTTGTGAGATACTCTTGTAAGACCATACAGGTAGCAAAAAAGGAGCTATCTAGTCAACTGCACGTTGACCATGCTTTCTCGGAACACTCGTGAGCCACTTACTGAGCTCGGTTAGCAGACCAACTGCCACTCAATGAACAACCAATTGACATAGCCGAGCTCACAGTATTTCGGGTACATTGTCAGCTTTATATTCACCACTTGAATTACCCTTCAACAGGTTGATAACATTCAATGCAGAGAACAGACCAGTCCTTAAAAGGCTTCATCATCATCACCATCGACAGCATGACATCAATGTTCAACACCGATGCTTCACTGCCGTAGTTAAAAGGTTTCTTTTTCCCCTCTGCCCTTCCCCTCCTTACAGTACAGAAAAAACAGCTCTGGTTACCTGGAGCGGTTACCTCTGCTTTTGTCGCCTTCCTCACGTGGAGTGCGCTGAACAGCCAACCTGCAAGTAAGGCTACCATGCTTGATTTCCCGACATTCTGTTTCTTGCTTACCGTAAACTGACTTTTGAAGTACGTTTTTCACTGTCCGGAACACGCATTTAATTTTTTTGCGCGTGAAAATCTCCTTCGTGATCGACTTTTTCGAAAACCTTGTAGAATAGTTCTGCGTTCGGAAGAATTTGCTCCGAAGTTGATTTCCTCACATACGGAATAAAGACTGTTCTCGGTGGACTTTAGGCTTTAGTCCGCACCTTCAAGAATGGACAATCTTTGTGATAAGAACTTTCTTCCGCATCGCGATTGCTCTATAGGAAACAGCCCCTCTGAATCGTACAGGAGCCACTCTCAATGCTCCCCCGGAAAGGAAATGCCAGTACCACCTTACAATGCTGACCTCCAATCAATTGTCATTTTATTTTGGAATTGTGTTCAGGTGATTCTTGTTTATTTTGATGAACAGATTGATCGGAATATTAGTTTTGACAGATAGCTCCACAAATGAGTTGCATCTTGGTCTGGAAAATTCTCTGGTTTGAGTCATGTTTTTGACTTTACCTTAAAAACTGCGGTATGATCAGAGTGCTAAGTCCCATTTTTTTTTTGTATTTTACTGAAACTCGAACCTAGAAACGTGGTTTGAAAATCCGTCTCAACAGGTTGGCAAGATTGCTCCTTTACGAATATATGATTGTATAGCGTCCCGAAGCAGGTTCCTGAAAGCCGTATTATTATCACCATTATTTTGCTAACCAGAACAGTCAAAGCAGCCGTATTCGTGGTGTTGAATAGAATCGATTACCTTGGGAAAACGTTTCTACTTCTGAGGACTTTGTAAGACAAAACTCGGCGGTTGTAGTAGTGACTATGTGTATTGAAGTAGATTCCAACACATTCGGAAGAGTATGACTAACTGGTACCGTAATTCCGAGACTGTATGCATAAGTGGGATGTATGACCACGTTCGATCCTCGGAATGAGGAATTTACTCCCCGCCACTTCCCATCACACCTTGACACTGTGTGATGAGCGCGAAAACGTACTACTACGGATGAAACTTCCGTGCCGCCACTTGAAGGGACTCGTGATTTCGTCAGTTGGATAGATGGCTTCACTTCGCAAAGTACAGGAGTGTTCTTGCTTTTTGTCAGCTCTATTCCTAATTGTCCCCCTTGGTAATGTATCGAAATATTGGTAGCTCGGGTGAGTTTATTGGTTGTTGATCAGGTTCGCCGAGCTTTGTAATTTACTCGTAAACGTTTCGCCACCATACGAGGAGACATCATCAGTGTGCAGTTGCCGAGCTCGGCAAACAGATCAACAGCCACCTGATCAACAACCAATAAACGTGTCCCTAGTTGAATCCGTCAACTAGTTCCGTCAGTACGTTCGAAACAACCACATCGAAATAGGTCTACCAGTGTACGTGCTTCGTTGAAGTATGCTAGAAATTTAACCGTGACAGGACCTTTACTTTTCATACTATTACTGTAGTCCTGGCTGATGGAATTGATTGATTCGTGGTCACTACGTGTCAGGTCCCCTGGGTAACAACAGTGATGTTTTGAGCAACTAGCGTACCCACACTGTTGTCTTGTTCAGAGATTTCCCCTGGACATTTTGCCCCAAAATCCATGTAGATCACCCAGCCGCTCTTTTAATGAATATGTGAAAACACTGTTTCTAACGCCTCTCTGCTGTGGCTTTGAGATTATAAACATACGTATCTTCGGAGATCTGCTCTTCTATTGTCTTCTACAGGACATCAGGATTTGTGCACCTTCGCTACTTCTTGATGATCTAGCAGACTAAGCACTCCGTTTTCCTGTCTACCTATTCCCACTGTCGACTTAGGGCAACAAGTGACCTCATTGAGTATCCGGGCTTCTGGAGGGGGCTCACGGTTTGGCTATTTCATAACCTGAGAACTCCTCCATCTCAAATCGGGGTTAACTCAAACGCAGTGATGCTCAAAAGCTAAAAAATTACATTCTGAACTGCCGTAAAGTAGAAAAAAGTGCAGTGTGTCCAAATAGTCACATGCTCAATACGTTTGAAAAGAATCCCGGAAGCGAGCGATCCCGTTGTCACATCGGTATTAGTCGATGGGCCGAATACTGTAGGCANATAGAGGCATTCCACCAGTCCACAAGCCTTCAGTTTTCAGTTAATTAGTCCTGTTTTCATGTATAATCTTAGCTTGTGAAAATGAGTAATTTATTACTATCGGCTCCAAAACTGAGTGTGTAGCTTGCCGGAAACTGTATTAGAAAGGCGTGCCGGTCAGAATGCTTCCATCACTCATTAACACATTACGAGTTGATTTGTGTGTATCTTGGGGTGGAATGTTATCAACGAGATGTGGCGTGGCTTCCTAGTCTCGTCGCATCCACAGTCTTTATTTTTGTACGTCAGTTGCTCAACATGCTGCTGACGTAAAGTCTGGGAACCATTTGTGATAGAGTTGTTCACCTGCTGACGAAAACTCATTCGTTTCCATGCGCCGGTATTGGATTATAAAAAGCATGAGCGCTTCTACAGTTTTGTTCTGGGTGCATAGGCAGTGGGATCGAGTTACCACGGGTTCAATCACAGACTACGTGCTGGCCGATATGTTCGTGAGATCATTAGTACCTTTGATGTTTACATCCAGTTTAGGAATTCCGAGAAGTTGTGTTCACGTGAACGGATTTCTCAGGACTTCCAAACTAGGGAGGGAGCGCCACATTCTTCACGGATTAAAAACTCAAGAGAGGCGGATGGGTCTACCCAAGGGGGTGGCAGGGGGACAGCTTCGTCGCTTTGACCCCAAACCGTAGTCTCACCTACTACTTGACAAACAGAGCGCGATTAGTGTGCACACCAGAGACGTTGGAGAACGATCTGCTAATCATCCGTAGAGTCAGGATGGATTAGTTTTTTCATCACATAAGCTCAATCCCAGTCAGGAAACGAGTTTACTTGTCACGTAAGACGGCTAATCTAGGCCATCTAACTAGGCTTCCGATTATCGATAACTTAGCTAAGACTAGCATTGGTTCGAAGTCACAATACGAACTGAACGTAGTGGAACTGCAAAAGAGAATGATTGGTAACAAACTGATACCCACAGTGTCCTCTATCACTGTAAGTCTCTTTTTCCGTATCGATTTTTCTCAGATATTTGGACTTTGCGGTTCTTGTTTCATCCGGTTGAATTGTGGGTGACCGGTGGTGCCATTCATCTCTTAAGGAGATGACGAGATCGCTATTGTAAACCGTTCAGGTGGGGGGGGACTTCCCCGGAAAGGATTTTCTGTCCAGCGGCCGTTTCTCGAACGTTACTCTGATATGTACTGGGACTTTAATTTACTTCTTTCTTTGTGATGCCCTTTTATTCAGTCCCTCAGAATAGCTACATAGTCCTTTTTAACAGGGGATGCTTCTTTTGGTCACTGAGCGATTTCGGAGGATTTCATTCTCTCATCTACATTTGAATGGATACAGGAATATGGTAACACCGTACAAGAAAACTGCTGTACAATTCTCTATTTGGAAGCCTGACTACACGCCTTCTAAACGATATAACGAATCGTTCTATACGGATGATGGAATTTTGCCTCCCATTCAAGATTTATCGAATTTCTTCCTTTTCCACACTTCCTTAAATCTCTCCAAGCTCGAAACTTCCGTCTAGACCGTTGCTATTCCTTCGCCTCACCCTCTCATGCCTGACTATATACAAGTTTCACACCTAGCATCTCCTTCGTTTGGTTCATGCAGGCCGCTTTTCTTGGGGGAGCTGCTCCGGGAAATGGGAAACTCTGAAATTCGCGCCAATGTTTTGCCACAATTCAAATAGTCAATAAGGGCGAGCCTCAGGGATCTTGTCACCCCGATGGGTGTATCTGTTGAAGATTTATAGTAGCTGCAAGATAACCACGACTCATTTGGGACGTCTGAGCTTCGCCAGTTATCCTCCATTAACATAACCACGATTTGGGACGTCTGAGCTTCGCCAGTTATCCTCCATTAACCTTTTAGTTCAGTAAACACCAAATTCCACGAACATAGGCTTGCTTCCATAGTTCATCTGTCGAATGCAGGCATCAAAGTGGAAGCGAATTTCACATTTTGGACAAAGTTGCATGACGATGAGCCGAACTGATGAGGGTGCCTCGTTTTTCCAATCACGGATGATTTAGCCAGACGAGTAATTTGACTCTGATGTATCTTGTCTGTTCGGTATTACACTCTGCACATGTGCATGCAGGCTGACCTAGACTTTATGAAAACAAATCTGGTCTTGTGTGCCATTAGGGTCAGGTGCAGGTAAGTTTCATTCCTCGAAACTATGCATCATTCGTCGGAATTTTATGCCAGCAGATCCAGGACCATCAAGGTCGTTGAATCCTACAGACTGTAACAAATTCTGTAGTTATCATCCAAAACAGTGTCGAATCGTTTTCACCGATTGTATCCTTGTCCCATAATTTTTTGCACATTTTATTCTTGTGAGTGTTTGTCATTCTTCAGTCCTAACCTCCGACGTTCCCTGGCAAAAACGGCTCGGTTTCAGTGTGGACAAACAGCAGAATCTCACCGTTCATCCATTACTGGTTGTCGCTGATCATTTGAATCGGCTACTTTCGGATCAGGTTAGCACAGAATCACCGAGTGCAGCGAAATCGATCACTTCACCAGTGTCTACAATTATGCTCAATCAATGCTTGCCAGGCGGAATCGGGTCCGTGGCGAGTCATGTGGGCAAAGATATCTTTACTTTTCTCGGACTGGTGCTTGTTATTGGATGGTCACTCTATTCCAGGTAAGTCAGCCTGATGGATGGTTATGGGTCTGTTTGTCACAAAGAGATGTGAACTTTTTTCATAAAGGAAACTACTCACTGGGTTGCTGAAAACTCTTCGACAGCCCACGACCGGTTTCGCCCTTCTCAGGGCTCATCAGATAGGCGCAACCCCCGAGTTTTCGTCAACCTTATGATCTACTTGAACCCAAATTGGACTGTTTTTGAGAAATACACTCATTTGCAAATCAGTTTGGTTTTTCTGGG